CTCGGACTTATATATATTATTTATCCACACAATCCGTATTTCTTTCGGAAAATTACACATTTTAAATTCTTATATAGATAAATTTCCGCAAACTTCGTGTTAACTATATATCTAGGCATGTCAATGCATCGAAATGATTAATGTAATCTACACATATATGTCAAAAATTTGTATTCATTGGCATAAATTTCATTATGCATATTTTATGTATTTTTTGGAAGATGTTAATCGCTACGAAACACAAACTTCTCTTTCAACACCCTTCGTAAACTTTATAAACTCTATATAACTTGGCAAATGCTTATTGTTACTCTGCTGATCACTTTTACATTCATCCTAACTGAAATACTTTTAATTTCAACCCAAACATAGCGGAGCGAAGCAAAAGTCAGTCAAAAAAAGACGCGTGTTTAGACTTTTAATAGGGATTTTAGTTGTAGATTCGTGGCATTCTATACCACCGCGGATTTGCGCAGAACACGCGGTGTTTAGAGCGAACACGTTCTCGGAGAGACAAGGCCGTTTTTGCTCGAGGAATGTATATACATACATATGTAATGAAACGCGCCGAGTTTTTCCAATGCTCGTCGGGACGTGCTCGTGCACGCGATAATATAATTGCAACTATAATGTGTCCGCAACGCCATTACCGATGGTCGCATTAGCATGCACGCGGACGAGATAGGTTTGCCTTGAGATTATCTCCGTGACGTAGTTAGTGAGATGTCAAACATGTGCGGTAATCGCGGTGCGTCGCGTGTCTGTGCGTAGCGGCCATTACAAGATGAATTCTGGATTTATCGTCTCGCACCTTCTACCACTTGTTTTATTGAAATTAAAAGCTAGGAGGGACATGGAAATCGTTGAAAGCCACCAGCAGCGGAATTCTCTAATTCATTACGTAATCGTTATATTGCGCAGATATTTTATGTAGTAAAAAAGCTCCGCAACTGTCGTTATCAATATATAACGATTGCACAATGAGTTATAGAATATAGGGGCTGGGATGTAAAAATCATCCCAGATGCACTGAGAAAAAAAAACAATGATGTAATTTAAATATGTATAATTTATAGTCATCTTCAGTGCAATTACAATTTTTTGCTAGGACTATAAATATAATTATTATTACTAATATTATAGCAGTAATAACTATAAAAAAGGAATTCCTAATTATAATTATTTTACCATGCAATTATAGTCACAATTACCAAATTACTCTCCCAATCAGTACGATTATGTTCTGGTTAAAAGAAAAGAACGACATCTTTTGTATCTTATATATTGTATGTTGCTTCTTTTAAAATAGTTGAGTATCCTCTTCTGTTTATATATATATATATATATATTGTATGTTGCTTCTTTTAAAATAGTTGAGTATCCTCTTCTGTTTATATATACACACACACTCACACACACACACACACACACACACACACACACACACACGCGCGCGCGCGCGCGCGCGCGTAAAAAATTGTGTTTACACATATATTTGTCGGAAAAACCTAAAAAGGAAAGAAATAATAAGACGTTGGGAGTTAAGAGTTTATTTATTATTCACTTTTGAAAATTGATACAATAAAATGATTGCGATAGAAGCATTTAGTCATTGCAATTGGCCGTTCTTCATATTGTAATACTATCTGTTATTTGAGAAAAAATTGGAAACTGCAGTTTATTGTTACGATTTATTATTTAGAAGAGAGAAGTTACTTAGAAGTTTTTATCTTCACAGATTTTGAATTAATTTTTGACGAATTTAAGCAACTTTTACCGTATATTAATATTCAAGATTTTAATGGCTATTCTTATTGCGATATTTTCTGTTAGTTTGGGTATATTTTATTGTTTATTAATATTGAGAATAACCTAAGAAACGTTTGTTCGATCTCTGTACTTGAATTATATAATTTATTAAA